TGACTTAATATCACATTTATTGTTAAGTTAATAAATAATCAAGTTTTTCAGGTATAAACGATCGATATAATTATTTTTTTCGATTTTTTTTTTTATTTTTTTAAAATTTTTTTTAAATTTCGGTCGTTTTTATTCACGTCTAATTAAAGTCAAAATATTTATTAGGTAATGAGAAAAATGTCAATAATTAAAGTTGTAGATAGTATTTCTGGTTACAATTTCACATAAGATAGTTGGTATCTATCTTTAATATCCATCGAATGCGGTATAGGTAACGATCTAAAGATAAATTTATTATTTTTTGTCAGTTTCATTTTAAGCGTAATATCTCTATGTATAGATATTCAATTTTATCACAAAATATATCATAAGATAGCTCTAGTTTAGGGGAATCAAATAAAAAAAAGTTTGTACAATTTAGATCACTCATTGTACCACAATTAGCATTTTAATTTTAGAAATTATTTTCATTCCACAAATACTTTTGCTAAGGGAGTGCATTATTATATTTGGGGGGAGGTATTAATAAGGATTATGCTGACGTTAAAACTAAGCTCGCTGTGTTGGATACAAACAAAATTTCCTTATAAATGATAATTCCAAATCACCATCTATCTATTATATTAATATAATTTATTTAATTTTTTTTAGATGACACAGTTAATCCAAAATATATCTTTATAATATCAAAAGTATTACATGTTATAACCCTCCTCCTGTTACCTCCACTACGAATGCTACCAAAAAAAAGTCATTACAAAATCTTTAGCAAATTAGGTTTGGAGTAGTTATTATTACAATATTATTGTAACCTTTAGTTTTATTGTTTATAGAAGAAACGACACGTTCTTGAAATACCTCTAATTAAAAAACCAACATTTTTATTTTATTTTTATTAATTGCTTCAAAGAATAAAAATTATTAAAGAATGTAAATGTAATACAAAATAATCGCACATGCATAGTTGGTTGATCATTCACCGAAAAATTACGAAAATAACGCCAAGGAATTCAATTCCGTTTTGTTTTAATAGTAATAAAACAAATGTGTTTCCTTTGTTAAACATTTTCAATGATTTTTAAGAAACTTGTGTTATTTATAGATATATTATAATTTTCGTGTTTCTTTCTTGTACTACACTAATTTGTATGTTAATATTATAACTACTACGTATAGTTATTCCCTACTGAATACAGCATTATTGTCATGTATTAAAACGTTACAAAGAAATGTTTGTAAATTTATGCATGTGTGACCACTTTTAATGTCTTTTTCGTAAAAAATTTCAGGGTCATTCTATCGTAACTGAATTGTTTCAGGTTACGCATAAACAATATTTACTTATTTATTTATTGACATTCATGAAAAAGAAAACTTAGAATTTTTTTTTAACGAATTTTTTTTTTTTAATAATAACTTTTTTAATTAATTTTCTAAAATTTAAAAAAATGGCGATGATGAAAAACGTGCAAGTGCCTACTGCATTTAGATGGCGTGGATCAGTTATTCCAAAAGTTTTATTGACATCAATATCTATAACACTATTGTCAGTAGCAGTAGTTTTATGCTATAAAAAGACAGAGTTCAAACCGTCAATTCCTTTCTCTTTTATTACTGTTTTAGGTTTTATTGTTGGTTTGTTGTTGACTTATAGAACAAATACTGCTTATGACAGGTATAATTTTTATTAATATTTTATAATATTTTAAAATTAAATAAAATATTTAAAATAAATATATTATTTAAAAATATTTATAGATATTGGGAGGGAAGACGTATTTGGTCTACTATGGTTGTTAGTATTCGTGCATTGGCTCGCAATATTTGGGTAAACATGCAACTAGACTCTAAAAAAGACATTATTGAAAAGAAATCAGCCATTAATCTTGTATTAGGGTTTGCAATAGCAACAAAATATTATCTTCGTGGAAAAGATGGTAATAGTGAAGATTGTAAAGATCTTAAACACCTTATTTCAAATATTACATCACAATTACCTGGATGGGATCAATTAGAAGCATCAACTTCACGTGAAAAGAAACGTGAAGAGAAGAGTGAAAAGAAACCTTGGTTTGGTGCAAGACTTTTTAATAAAGTATTTAACCGTCATCATCATCATGAAGAAGAAAAAGAAATTAAAAATCATAATATCCCATTGGAACTTTTATTTTATCTCACATCATTTTTTAACGATCAACCCGAAGATATATTGGATAATCCTTCAAGAAGTATTTGTTATACTTCAATGAACTCTTTGACTGATTGTTTGACACAATTTGAAAGAATCTTAAGAACTCCAATTCCAAAGGCCTATTCTATTCATTTGGTATTTTTTTTATTCTTTATTTATTTAATATTTATTCTTTTATTTTTCAGTTATCATTTTCGTTGTAATATTCTGTTAATATGATATTCTTATTATTTTCTTCATAGGCCCAAACTGTTTTTATTTATTGTGTCACATTGCCTTTTCAATTAGTTTCTTTTGTTGATTATTGGACCATTCCAATTGTTTTTATTTCTTGTATTGTCTTATTGGGTGTTGAAGGTATCGGAGAAGAAATCGAAAATCCTTTTGGTTTGGATGATAACGATTTGGATTTAGATCAATTCTGCATGTATGTATTTTATAATTTTTATTGAATGATTTTTTTCAAAATTTTAAACAATTATTTATTTAAATCATTTAATTTTAATTTCTTTCAATATAGAGTTCTAGAAAAAGAAATTAACACAATCACAGCTCATGCAATTCCAAATCTTGAACCTACAGAAGAAGAAGTACGTAAATCACTGGATGTGCCGCGTACTTTAAATGAAAATGAAAAAGGCAAAAGTGAAGTTGAGAAATTAGATGCTATTACCGAAGAGTAGATTTTGCATTTACATAATTATTTATTTATTTGTATACACAATACAATATATAACTGTCGAGGATTCATAGTTTTTTAAGACATTTTTATTCATAAATAATTTATAATTGTGGAATGTATAATATATTTAACTAGGTTCTAACATAAAATCGAATTAATCAAATAATGCAAAATGAATTTAAATTAATTAAAATCGATATCTAATTGAATTGAATTAGTCGTTTGAAAATGATATTATAAATTTTTTTATTTCTTTATTTTTTTTTTAAATCTGCCTGCGTGGGGTTATTCATGAGAACAGTGCATAACTAAAAAAAATTCGAAAAACTGAGAATTTAATCATTTCGAGTTCAGTCCAATTCGCAATTTAGTTAAAAAAAAAATACACCAATTTAAACGAATAAATTATAAATTAATTCGTGATTCGCGAGAAATGGAAAGATCTACATTAATAAAATGCGGGGTTAAGTTATATATATATGCGATAATCTCAAGCCGGAATGGGAAAATTACAAAAGTCATTTTATCAATTATGATAAAAAAATCAAAG